AGTGGCAGAGGAGGCAATGTTTTAGGAGCGAGCAGACGTGGCAGCAGAGGAAGGGGTCGAGGCAGCACTAGTCGCAGCCAGAGGCCAGTGCTCCCGGTGTCATCCAGCGGTCGTGTCTCCACCGACAACCCTGCCGTCATCGATTGGTTGGCTCGGTCGTCTTCCTCTTCCCAGGTCACCTCTGACACCTACAGCCAACGGTCGGTGTGTACGTCAGACACAACCGTTAGTTGGCATGGCCCGGGAGCAAGCCCACTGAAATCACGTGTCCTCTACCTGCCCCTGTCCTTTGCTGTTCCCTCACCAAGCGAAGTATCGCATGCTGTGGGCTCAGCCCCACTGTACAGTGAGGAAGAGCTAACAGAGGGCGGTCAGGAACGGGGGGAGACATCCGCCTCTTCAGCAGCCAGGCGAAGAAGTACTGGCGAGGAGAGTGGCTCGGTAGCCGGTCTAGAGACAGGTCTGTCTCCTGACCCAGACGCAGCCGAGGGGGCTAGTAGTGAGGCGGAGACCCTACTTGATGATGAGGAGGTTGATCGCACTTGGCAGCCTCGTCGTCATCAGGCAATTTCTTCCGCATCATCAGGAGAAGAGGGTGCCAGCTTGGCAGCGAGCAAAACAGTCGGTGGGTTGCCCAGGAGGCAGCAGGGTCGCAGCAGTGTCAGTGGAGGCAAACGGCCACGAGAGTAGAGCACCAGCTCCACTGCAGCCTACCACCACGGCCAGTAGTGGTGCCGGTGTGCACGGAGGAAGTAGCAGTCAGCCAGTGAGGGAGTAGCGGGGGCAAAGTTTCCTACTCGGCGGTGTGGCAATTTTTCGTCAAGCCGCCCGAGGAAGTAAACGTAGCCGTATGTCGACTATGTGGCCAGAAAGTCAAGCGTGGCCAGGGGGCCCATGTTGGGACTACAGCGTTGCGTCAGCATATGCAGCGTCGCCATTTGGTGGCCTGGGAAAACCGTGATAAAGATACGGCGGTTCTGCCTGCCCCAGCCCCCGCTCCATCACCCGCTCCGTTACTTGCTCCGTCACCCGACGTCAATCGCCCTCTATCAGCCAGTCAAGGCTCCAACACCTCTGCTGAGGGGAGTTGTCGCTCGTTGGCATCTTCCGCTCGTTCAGATGCTCCTTCTCCTGCTACTCCTCTTCACGGATTCCGTCAGCAGTCTTTTTTGGAATCCGTTTCCAAGAGACAACAGTTTGCGAGCACGCACCCGACGGTGCAAAAGCTGAACGTCCTCCTGTCCAAGTTGCTGGTGCTGCAGTCCCCCCTTTCCAAGTGGTGGACTCAGCACCTTTCCGAGAAATGATGGCTTGTGCCGCGCCGCGGTGGAGAGTGCCAAGCCGGCATTTCTTCGCCAAAAAGGCAGTGCCAGCCCTGCATTCACATGTAGAAGAGATGGTGGGCCAGTCTTTGAGCATGTCGGTCTCTGCCAAAGTGCACGGCAGCGCCGACGTGTGGAGCTGTAACTACGGTCAGGGACAGTACATGTCATTTACGGCCCACTGGGTGAACGTGGTGCCGGCACAGCCGCACCAGCAACTTGGACAGGTCACGACGCTTTTGCCTCCACGTTTGCACGTCCTTGGTCCAGCAAACATGTCCGCCTCTACCACCTCTTCTTCCGCCGTGTCCTCAGCCGCCACCCCCCCCCCGTGCCAAGTCCCATTACCCGACCGGCATATCACATGTGCAGGGCGCAACGGTGTCACGCTGTGCTGCACCTGGTATGCCTTGGCGAACGTAGTCACACAGGGGAGGAACTTCTGAGTGTAATGAACAGAGAAATCGACAGATGGCTGTCTCCGCGCAAACTGAAAATCGGAACCATGTTGACCGACAACGGAAAGAACATGGTGTCTGCTCTGCGTCAAGGAAGGTTGTGCCATGCGCCATGCATGGCTCACGTGTTCAATCTGGTTGTCAAGCGGTTCCTAAAATCCACCATCCCACTGCAAGACATCCTTAAAATGTCACGTAAACTTTGCATGCATTTCAGCCATTCCTACACCGCAAAGCACACCCTCCTTGAGCTGCAGCGGCAGAACGGAATTCCACAGCATCGCCTGATCTGCGACGTTGCAACAAGGTGGAATTTCAACCCTACACATGTTAGACCGCCTTTACGAACAGCGAAAGGCCATCACCGATTTCCTGATGTTACAAGCGGATAAAGGTACTCCCCTGTGTAACTTCGATGTCAGCCATTGGCAGCTCATGCGTGACACCTGCCGCTTGCTCAGGCCCTTTGAGGAGGAGGCCACGCTATTCGTGAGTCGGCAGGACTATGGGATGAACGACGTCATTCCTCTGTTGCACGTCCTGGAACAAATGCTGTTAACAAATGGCTGGTCAGGGTGCGGTAGACGTGGCGCACAGATCTCAACGCCACATGACCCCTGTGGGGGCAGGACAGGAAGAAGAGGAGGAGGTAGAGGAGGACATTTGTGCTCAGGAATTATTGAGTGAAATGGGTGGTTTTTCCACTCAGCGGACAGGAGTGGAGGAGCAGGAGCATCTGGTAGAGGAGGAGGAGGAGGAGACAGAGGACCCAGACGCACCGTGGCAGTATGCTGTGGAGATGGAGGCAGGGAGTCCCTCGCATTCCTTGGCACAAATGGCCCATAGCATGCTCGGTTGCTTGCGTAGCGACAGCCGAAATAATAACCATCAGACAGAGGGATGACTTTTGGCTGTCCACCTTGTTGGACCCTCGCTACCGTTCCAAAATGGTGGCCTTTTTCACACTGCTGCTGAGAGGGAGGCCAAAATTACGTACTATAAAAACCACCTATGTAGTCAGTTGGTCTCTGCCTTTCTGCGCCAACGTCCATCCTCAGACACTGTGGGCCCTGTGCGCTCGCGTTCCGCTGCCATGGCAGCAGGGGAGGGGTGGGGTGGTAGGAGCAGTGGCAGCTCCACCAGCAGCGGCTGCCTCAGTCTGCAGTCGATGATGAGTAGCTTTCTTCACCAGCGCAGTGAGGAAACTACTAACCAGCCAGCAGCAGCAGCAGCAGCAGCAGCAGCAGCATCAGGTGGACCTGGAGCAGGAGCTCAAACAACAGGCTTGGGCCTACTTGGACAGCACCCTGCCAACCGAGGTAGACAATCCCCTTGACTACTGGGCAACGAAACTTGACCTTTGGCCCCAACTAGCTGAATTTGCCCTTGAAAGGCTGTCATGCCCGGCCAGTAGCGTGGCATCGGAGCGCGTGTTTAGTGCGGCAGGAGGTATTGTAACTCCGCGGAGGACACGACTGTCCACCCAAAGTGTGGAGAGACTCACGTTTGTGAAAATGAATCAGGCGTGGATTAGTCTGGATTTCAAACCACCAGTTCCTGACACAACTGACTAAATCCGCCATGAATCATGCCCCTGCCATGTGCCACTTTCAGTCTCTCCTCACACTGCTGCTGGGTTTCATTTTGTCATAGGGTGCTGGCAGATTACGGGCCTCCCATTGCTGCTGCCAGGCCCCTAATCTGCCATGGGCCCCCGTACCGCCTCCTCATGCTGCTGCCAGGTCCACAGTGTCTGCCATGGGCCCCTGTACAGGCCTCCCCATTGCTGTCTGTGCTGGCCACGGGCCTCACACTGCTGCCATGTGCCACTTTCAGGTCCCCTCACACTGCTGCTGCAGTGTGGTTCCATTTTGTCATAGGATGCTGGCAGATTACATGGGGCCTCCCACACTGCTGCGGCCAGGCCCCTAATCTGCCATGGGCCCCCAGTACCGGGCCTCCATCACGCTGCTGCCAGGTCCCCTAATGTGCCATGGGCCCCTGTACCGGCCTCCCATCTGCTGTCTCCATCGCCACACTCTGCCATGTGCCACTTTCAGGTCTCCTCACACTGCTGCTGTGTTCCATTTTGTCATAGGATGCTGGCAGATTACGGGCCTCCCATTGCTGCTGCCAGGCCCCTAATCTGCCATGGGCCCCCGTACCGCCTCCTCACGCTGCTGCAGGTCCACAGTGTCTCATGGGTCCCTGTAGGCCTCCCATTGCTGCTGTCTCCATCGCCACACTCTGCCATGTGCCACTTTCAGGTCTCCTCACACTGCTGCTGGTTCCATTTTGTCATAGGATGCTGGCAGATTACGGGCCTCCCATTGCTGCGGCCAGGCCCCTAATCTGCCATGGGCCCCCTGTACCGCCTCCTCACGCTGCTGCAAGGTCCACAGTGTGTCATGGGTCCCTGTACCGCCCCATTTGCTGCTGTCTCCATCGCCACACTCTGCCATGTGCCACTTTCAGGTCTCCTCACACTCCTGCTGGTTTCCATTTTGTCATAGGTTGCTGGCAGATTACAGGCCTCCCATAGGTGCTGCGGCCCAGCCCCCCAAATCTGCCATGGGCCCCCGTACCGCCTCCTCACGCTGCTGCTAGGTCCACAGTGTGTCATGGGTCCCTGTACCGCCTCCCATTGCTGCTGTCTCCATCGCCACACTCTGCCATGTGCCACTTTCAGGTCTCCTCACACTCCTGCTGGTTTCCATTTTGTCATAGGTTGCTGGCAGATTACAGGCCTCCCATGCTGCTGCTGCCAGGCCCCAAATCTGCCATGGGCCCCCGTACCGCCTCCTCACGCTGCTGCTAGGTCCACAGTGTGTCATGGGTCCCTGTACCGCCTCCCATTGCTGCTGTCTCCATCGCCACACTCTGCCATGTGCCACTTTCAGGTCTCCTCACACTCCTGCTGGTTTCCATTTTGTCATAGGTTGCTGGCAGATTACAGGCCTCCCATAGGTGCTGCCAGGCCCCAAATCTGCCATGGGCCCCCGTACCGCCTCCTCACGCTGCTGCTAGGTCCACAGTGTGTCATGGGTCCCTGTACCGCCTCCCATTGCTGCTGTCTCCATCGCCACACTCTGCCATGTGCCACTTTCAGGTCTCCTCACACTCCTGCTGGTTTCCATTTTGTCATAGGTTGCTGGCAGATTACAGGCCTCCCATAGGTGCTGCCAGGCCCCAAATCTGCCATGGGCCCCCGTACCGCCTCTCACGCTGCTGCTAGGTCCACAGTGTGTCATGGGTCCCTGTACCGCCTCCCATTGCTGCTGTCTCCATCGCCACACTCTGCCATGTGCCACTTTCAGGTCTCCTCACACTCCTGCTGGTTTCCATTTTGTCATAGGTTGCTGGCAGATTACAGGCCTCCCATAGGTGCTGCCAGGCCCCAAATCTGCCATGGGCCCCCGTACCCGCCTCCTCACGCTGCTGCAGTGTCCCACAGTGTGTCATGGGTCCCTGTACCGCCTCCCATTGCTGCTGTCTCCATCGCCACACTCTGCCATGTGCCACTTTCAGGTCTCCTCACACTCCTGCTGGTCCATTTTGTCATAGGTTGCTGGCAGATTACAGGCCTCCCATAGGTGCTGCCAGGCCCCAAATCTGCCATGGGCCCCCGTACCGCCTCCTCACGCTGCTGCTAGGTCCACAGTGTGTCATGGGTCCCTGTACCGCCTCCCATTGCTGCTGTCTCCATCGCCACACTCTGCCATGTGCCACTTTCAGGTCTCCTCACACTCCTGCTGGTTTCCATTTTGTCATAGGTTGCTGGCAGATTACAGGCCTCCCATAGGCTGCTGCCAGGCCCCAAATCTGCCATGGGCCCCCGTACCGCCTCCTCTCACGCTGCTGCTAGGTCCACAGTGTGTCATGGGTCCCTGTACCGCCTCCCATTGCTGCTGTCTCCATCGCCACACTCTGCCATGTGCCACTTTCAGGTCTCCTCACACTCCTGCTGGTTTCCATTTTGTCATAGGTTGCTGGCAGATTACAGGCCTCCCATAGGTGCTGCCAGGCCCCAAATCTGCCATGGGCCCCGTACCGCCTCCTCACGCTGCTGCTAGGTCCACAGTGTGTCATGGGTCCCTGTACCGCCTCCCATTGCTGCTGTCTCCATCGCCACACTCTGCCATGTGCCACTTTCAGGTCTCCTCACACTCCTGCTGGTTTCCATTTTGTCATAGGTTGCTGGCAGATTACAGGCCTCCCATAGGTGCTGCCAGGCCCCAAATCTGCCATGGGCCCCCGTACCGCCTCCTCACGCTGCTGCTAGGTCCACAGTGTGTCATGGGTCCCTGTACCGCCTCCCATTGCTGCTGTCTCCATCGCCACACTCTGCCATGTGCCACTTTCAGGTCTCCTCACACTCCTGCTGGTTTCCATTTTGTCATAGGTTGCTGGCAGATTACAGGCCTCCCATAGGTGCTGCCAGGCCCCAAATCTGCCATGGGCCCCCGTACCGCCTCCTCTCACGCTGCTGCTAGGTCCACAGTGTGTCATGGGTCCCTGTACCGCCTCCCATTGCTGCTCTCCATCGCCACACTCTGCCATGTGCCACTTTCAGGTCTCCTCACACTCCTGCTGGTTTCCATTTTGTCATAGGTTGCTGGCAGATTACAGGCCTCCCATAGGTGCTGCCAGGCCCCAAATCTGCCATGGGCCCCCGTACCGCCTCCTCACGCTGCTGCTAGGTCCACAGTGTGTCATGGGTCCCTGTACCGCCTCCCATTGCTGCTGTCTCCATCGCCACACTCTGCCATGTGCCACTTTCAGGTCTCCTCACACTCCTGCTGGTTTCCATTTTGTCATAGGTTGCTGGCAGATTACAGGCCTCCCATAGGTGCTGCCAGGCCCCAAATCTGCCATGGGCCCCCGTACCGCCTCCTCACGCTGCTGCTAGGTCCACAGTGTGTCATGGGTCCCTGTACCGCCTCCCATTGCTGCTGTCTCCATCGCCACACTCTGCCATGTGCCACTTTCAGGTCTCCTCACACTCCTGCTGGTTTCCATTTTGTCATAGGTTGCTCAGATTACAGGCCTCCCATAGGTGCTGCCAGGCCCCAAATCTGCCATGGGCCCCCGTACCGCCTCCTCACGCTGCTGCTAGGTCCACAGTGTGTCATGGGTCCCTGTACCGCCTCCCATTGCTGCTGTCTCCATCGCCACACTCTGCCATGTGCCACTTTCAGGTCTCCTCACACTCCTGCTGGTTTCCATTTTGTCATAGGTTGCTGGCAGATTACAGGCCTCCCATAGGTGCTGCCAGGCCCCAAATCTGCCATGGGCCCCCGTACCGCCCTCTCACGCTGCTGCTAGGTCCACAGTGTGTCATGGGTCCCTGTACCGCCTCCCATTGCTGCTGTCTCCATCGCCACACTCTGCCATGTGCCACTTTCAGGTCTCCTCACACTCCTGCTGGTTTCCATTTTGTCATAGGTTGCTGGCAGATTACAGGCCTCCCATAGGTGCTGCCAGGCCCCAAATCTGCCATGGGCCCCCGTACCGCCTCCTCACGCTGCTGCTGCTAGGTCCACAGTGTGTCATGGGTCCCTGTACCGCCTCCCATTGCTGCTGTCTCCATCGCCACACTCTGCCATGTGCCACTTTCAGGTCTCCTCACACTCCTGCTGGTTTCCATTTTGTCATAGGTTGCTGGCAGATTACAGGCCTCCCATAGGTGCTGCCAGGCCCCAAATCTGCCATGGGCCCCCGTACCGCCTCCTCTCACGCTGCTGCTAGGTCCACAGTGTGTCATGGGTCCCTGTACCGCCTCCCATTGCTGCTGTCTCCATCGCCACACTCTGCCATGTGCCACTTTCAGGTCTCCTCACACTCCTGCTGGTTTCCATTTTGTCATAGGTTGCTGGCAGATTACAGGCCTCCCATAGGTGCTGCCAGGCCCCAAATCTCTGCCATGGGCCCCCGTACCGCCTCCTCACTGCTGCTAGGTCCACAGTGTGTCATGGGTCCCTGTACCGCCTCCCATTGCTGCTGTCTCCATCGCCACACTCTGCCATGTGCCACTTTCAGGTCTCCTCACACTCCTGCTGGTTTCCATTTTGTCATAGGTTGCTGGCAGATTACAGGCCTCCCATAGGTGCTGCCAGGCCCCAAATCTGCCATGGGCCCCCCCCGTACCGCCTCCTCACGCTGCTGCTAGGTCCACAGTGTGTCATGGGTCCCTGTACCGCCTCCCATTGCTGCTGTCTCCATCGCCACACTCTGCCATGTGCCACTTTCAGGTCTCTCCTCACACTCCTGCTGGTTTCCATTTTGTCATAGGTTGCTGGCAGATTACAGGCCTCCCATAGGTGCTGCCAGGCCCCAAATCTGCCATGGGCCCCCGTACCGCCTCCTCACGCTGCTGCTAGGTCCACAGTGTGTCATGGGTCCCTGTACCGCCTCCCATTGCTGCTGTCTCCATCGCCACACTCTGCCATGTGCCACTTTCAGGTCTCCTCACACTCCTGCTGGTTTCCATTTTGTCATAGGTTGCTGGCAGATTACAGGCCTCCCCTAGGTGCTGCCAGGCCCCAAATCTGCCATGGGCCCCCGTACCGCCTCCTCACGCTGCTGCTAGGTCCACAGTGTGTCATGGGTCCCTGTACCGCCTCCCATTGCTGCTGTCTCCATCGCCACACTCTGCCATGTGCCACTTTCAGTCTCTCCTCACACTCCTGCTGGTTTCCATTTTGTCATAGGTTGCTGGCAGATTACAGGCCTCCCATAGGTGCTGCCAGGCCCCAAATCTGCCATGGGCCCCCGTACCGCCTCCTCACGCTGCTGCTAGGTCCACAGTGTGTCATGGGTCCCTGTACCGCCTCCCATTGCTGCTGTCTCCATCGCCACACTCTGCCATGTGCCACTTTCAGGTCTCCTCACACTCCTGCTGGGTTTCCATTTTGTCATAGGTTGCTGGCAGATTACAGGCCTCCCATAGGTGCTGCCAGGCCCCAAATCTGCCATGGGCCCCCGTACCGCCTCCTCGTCCCTGTACGGCCTCCCATTGCTGCTGTCTCCATCGCCACACTCTGCCATGTGCCACTTTCAGGTCTCCTCACACTGCTGCTGGGTTCCATTTTGTCATAGGGTGCTGTATGGCCTCCCATTGCTGCTGCCTCCACCGCCACACTGTGGCTCCAAACTCTGGTTTTGGCCCCGTGACTGCCCAAATGAGTGAAGTGTGCGGTGATTCTAAGATCGACGGCACTCATCTGCATGTCATACTGACTGACAGTATTATTTCTCTTTCCCAGCAGACTCCAAGGGCATTTAAATTAAAGGTACAGTGTTCTGCACTAATATAAAGGCTCTCTGAAGCCTAGAAACACCCTTTTATAAGTTAAATTCACAGCGAATATATTCGACTCGAATCAAATTTTTTCCACGAATTCGCCGAATCAGGCTGATAGTGATGTCACTTTTTCTGATGAGGATTGGGATTCCATGGTGGATAATGTGTGTAAGAGCTCTAGATCTTTCTGTCCGTGAGACGGCCCTCAAAGTAATAACCAGATGGTATCATACCCCATCTAGACTACACGCCATGTATCCAGGGACGTCCCGCCTTTGTTTCCGGGGCTGTGGCTTTGCTGGTACTCTAATGCATATATTTTGGGCCTGCCCAAGCCCCTCATTGGTGTGGCACAAAATTTCTGAAGTTGCCTCTGCAGTGGCAGGTGCTCCGGTGCATCTGTCTATGCAGTCCTGCCTACTGGGAGCCCCTATCT